ATTCTAGAAATGTTTGAAAGTAGAAGATAGATAATTCTAGAATTAAGAAAAGATAGAATTATGTAAAACTTCTAGAATTATGTAGAAAACATATGTGTACTAGTAGAAACTACAACATGATTCTAGAAAAAGAAAAAGAAGAAGAAATGTGTAGAAACAATGAAAATAGTAGAAAATTCTAGAATCTTGTAAGTAAAGCCTATAAATAGGCATGAAGGGAGTCTTTGTATGTGTGGAAAATCTAATACAAGCTCCTACATATCTTGTAACACTTCTAACATCAATTACTATCTTCCCTCATACAAACTTTCTCCTATTTGTCCACCTCTTTCTAAAAACTATTTTCTACACAAATCTCACTACTAAACATCAAACTATCTTTCTTATCCTTCTTAAAATACTAACGAGTGGTACCGGAGCTACGTTCGGTCACCTGCGGGCGTAGAGAAATTTTTTTACTACCTTAAAAAACCATATTCCACTACACATTACTTCCAAAAGAAAATTTTCAACCTATGGCCACTACCAACCAAACATCATCCATTCCAGTTCCTATTTTTAAGGGAGAAAATTATGATTTTTGGAGAGTCAAAATGAGGACATTTTTTTGTTCTCAAGATCTTTGGGACGTCATTGAAGATGGGTTCACTATTCCGGAAGACATCTCAACTCTTACAGCTGCCCGGAGGAAGGAGGCTGAAGGAAAACAAACAGAAGGATTCAAGGGCATTATTCACTCTTCGACAAGCGGTAGATGACACTATTTTTCCAAGAATAATGGGTGCCACAAGTGCAAAGGAAGCTTGGAATACAATTCGGGAGGAGTTTCAAGGAAGTGATGAGGTACGCAATATTAAACTCCATTCTCTAAGAAGAGAATTTGAGTTAATAAGAATGAATGAATACGAGACCATAAAAGACTACTATTCTAGAATAAAAGAAATAGTTAGTCGGATGAGAGCCTACGGGGAAAATATTCTTGACAAGAAAATTGTTGAGAAAATTCTAATTTCTATTCCCCAAAAATATGATGCAATTGCAACTGCAATTGAACAAACAAAAGATTTATCTACATTATCGGTGACACAACTAATAGGCTCTCTTGAAGCATATGAACAAAGATTGAAAAGGCGTGAAGAAGACTCAGTCGAAAATGCCTTTCAATCAAAACTAAAATTACGGTCTCAAAATGGAGGAAATAAAATTAATAGAGAACTTTCTAAGAATAAGGAAAATTCTAGAAATTTTTCCAAGACTATTCAAGGAAAATATCCTCCATGTGGAACTTGCAAAAAGACAAGTCACTTGGAAAAAGATTGTTGGCATCGAGGAAAACCTCAATGTCAATACTGTAAGAAATTTGGACATCTAGAGAAAATGTGTCGCAACAAAAATCATCAACAAGCAAATTTTCTTGAAAAACGGGACGAGAGAACAACATCTCTTCTATGCTACGGGATGTTTTGACAATGAATCAAAAGGAAGATGGTACTTGGACAGCGGATGTAGTAACCATATGGCGAATGATCCAAGCATCTTCAAAGAAATTGATAACTCCATCAAAGTTCAAGTACGATTGGGAAATGGCACAGTGGTAGAGTCAAAAGGAAAAGGTAGTGTTATGGTGGAGACCAAGAAAGGTATGAGACTTATCAATGATGTCTTACTAGTTCCCAATCTTAAAGAAAATCTCTTAAGTATTGGTCAAATGATGGAGAAAGGATATACTCTCCACTTTGAAAGAGATACATGCACTATCTACGATAAGAAAAATCTAGAGATTGGCCAAGTAAAAATGGAAAAGAGAAATAGAAGTTTTCCTATAAGCTTCAATCGAGGAACTAACATTGCCATGAAAGTAGAAGTTGATGACTCGTGGCTATGGCATCGTAGATTTGGTCACTTCAATACTCATGCCTTAAAGCTACTACATCAAAAAGGCATGATGAGAGATCTACCAAGCCTTAAGGAGAGTAGTGAAGCTTGTGAAGGATGTCTTACGGGAAAGCAACACAGATTACCATTTTCTACGGGAAATACTTGGAGAGCAAAAGACTTGTTGGAGTTAATCCACACGAGATATTTGCGGACCAATGAGGACTCCATCGCTTAATAACAACAGGTACTTCATTCTCTTCATTGATGATTTTTCTAGAATGACTTGGATCTACTTCATCAAAGCAAAATCGAAGTCTTTAGAATATTCAAGAAATTTAAGGCCCTTGTCGAAAAGCAAAGCGGAAAACGGATAAAGGTTCTCGGGAGCGATCAAGGCAAAGAGTACACCTCCCACGAATTTGATAAATTACGTGAGGATGAAGGTATTGAGCGACAACTTACGGTCGCATATTCTCCACAACAGAATGGTGTCTCGGAGAGAAAAAATCGCCTTGTCATGGAGATGGCAAGATCAATGTTGAAGGAGAAAGGCTTGCCAAATACATTTTGGGCAGAAGCAGTTTACACTGCTGTATATATACTCAATAGATGTCCAACTAAGGTAGTCCAAAACAAGACTCCTATTGAATCTTGGAGTGGAAGAAAGCCATCAGCTAAACACCTACGAATATTTGGATCAATTTGCTACATACATGTTCCTGATCAGAGGAGGCATAAGCTTGAAGACAAAACTATAAGAGGAATATTCTTGGGATACGACCAACAGTCAAAAGGCTATCGAGTCTACAACCTACAAACAAAGAAACTCATCATCGATCGAGATGTTGAGGTTGACGAAAATGCTTTTTGGAATTGGGAAGAAGAAAAAGTTGTTAGAAGCAACATCCTAGTTCCAGTACAACAACTTGAAGAAGAAACGAGGAGATCCGAGTACGCTTTCTCCACCTCCACAAGAAGAAGAAGAATATACTTCACCGAGTCTACACCAAGACGTGTAAGATCTTTGGTAGATATATATGAAACTTGTAACATGGCCATCATTGAGCCTTCCTGCTATGAAGAAGCTTCAAAGCAAGAAGTATGGGTCAAGGCCATGGAAGAAGAAATCAAAATGATTGAGAAGAATAATACTTGGGAGCTTGTGGACTGTCCTCACGGAAAATATATCATTGGAGTAAAATGGATATATAAAACTAAGCTCAACCCCGATGGAACCATACAAAAATATAAGGCAAGATTGGTTGCAAAAGGATACTCACAGACAACCTGGGATCGACTATAATGAGACTTTTGCTCCGAGTTGCTCGCCTAGATACAATTAGAGCTTTAATAGCCCTTCGCTGCACAAAAAGGTTGGAACATCCATCAAGCTCGGATGTCAAATCTGCCTTTCTCAATGGAACACTAGAAGAAGAGATCTATGTTGAGCAACCACAAGGATTCATCAACAAAGGCCACGAAGGAAAAGTACTAAGACTAAGAAAAGCTCTATATGGCTCGAAGCAAGCTCCTCGAGCATGGTATAGTAAGATTGATAAATATTTTATCAATCAAGGATTTAGGAGGAGCAAGAGTGAGCCAACACTTTATATCAAGACACAAGGTCGAGTATAATCTCATTGTCTCCTTATATGTTGATGATCTCATCTATACGAGAAACAATAAGGAAATGATGAAAGAATTCAAAGAAGATATGATGAAAACATTCGAAATGACTGATCTTGGCTTGATGAACTACTTCCTCGGGATAGAGGTGATACAACAAAAAGAAGGAATATTTATCTCTCGGAAGAAATATACTGAAGCTCTACTAAAGAGATTCAAGATGTACGGATGTAAACCTGTCACTACTCCTTTGGTGGTAAACGAAAAGCTAAAGAAAGATGATGGAGCACCGAAGTAGATGTATCACAATACGGGAGTTTGATCGGAAGCCTTCTATATCTCACGGCTACACGACCGGACATTATGTATGCTACAAGTCTTCTGTCAAGATTCATGCAAAAGCCAAGTCGGATTCACTATGGAGCGGGAAAAAGGATTTTAAGGTATCACGCAAGGCACAAGAGAGTTTGGTATATGGTACAAGACCATGACCAACTCAAGGATGATTTGCTACACAGACGGTGATTGGGCGAGGATCAATAGACGACATGAAGAGTACGTCGGGATACGCCTTCTCACTTGGATCGGGTTTTTTCTCATGGGCATCAAAGAAGCAAGCAAGCGTGGCACAATCAACAGTGAAGCGAGAATACATAGGCTGCTGCTTGAAACTACAAGTCAAGCAATATGGCTACGAAGAATACTTGAAGAAATGGGCGAACCACAAGATGGACCAACTACTATTTATTGTGACAACAAATCAGCAATAGCAATGACGAAAAATCTCGTTCATCATCAAAGAACAAAACATATAGCTATTAAATATCACTTCATCGGAGAGGTTGAAGCGACTAAACAAATTCAACTTGAGTACTTGCACTACGGAAGATCAAATTACGAGACATATTTACCAAGGCACTACCAAGAGCCAAGTTTGAACAATTACGTTTCATGCTTGGAGTTACAAGAATTTGCATCAAGGAGGAGTGTTGAAAGATGATACAAATTCTAGAAAGATCTAGAATATAAAATCTTAGATGTTACTAGAATTAGGAATTATATATGAGTAATATCTAGAATCCTTAGAAGATTCTAGAAATGTTTGAAAGTAGAAGATAGATAATTCTAGAATTAAGAAAAGATAGAATTATGTAAAACTTCTAGAATTATGTAGAAAACATATGTGTACTAGTAGAAACTACAACATGATTCTAGAAAAAGAAAAAGAAGAAGAAATGTGTAGAAACAATGAAAATAGTAGAAAATTCTAGAATCTTGTAAGTAAAGCCTATAAATAGGCATGAAGGGAGTCTTTGTATGTGTGGAAAATCTAATACAAGCTCCTACATATCTTGTAACACTTCTAACATCAATTACTATCTTCCCTCATACAAACTTTCTCCTATTTGTCCACCTCTTTCTAAAAACTATTTTCTACACAAATCTCACTACTAAACATCAAACTATCTTTCCTATCCTTCTTAAAATACTAACACTTACACAAGTTGGAGAGCAGTCTGGTCTTGACGCGAATATTGTTGATCAGAAGGTATGAGATTTACAGGGAAAAAGTTCCTGTCATAAGATTGTGAAGGAAGTGAATCACACAGTGTTCCTTGCATCATATTTGATTGCTGTTGTTGTTGAGCTCTCTCATGTTCAGCTATCTGCATCAATTTCAACAACTTTTTTACCATTCAATCAACTATAACTAATATCACATCACATTTATGTACTTTTATTTTTTTGCATAGATTCTTGGAGTGTCATTAATGTATATGTGTGTGTGTTAATAGAATAATGAGAGGACCTTTGCTCGCAGATAATTATTATGGTTTTGCAGCTCAATTTCCTGCACAATATCAACAAACTTATAGTTTCAGAAGTTTGCTATACAATATACAGGCTCATTAAATCAACATGATAGAGAAGTTTTATTAGAATTTATTTTAGACTTTTTAGCGTATATGAACTTAATCATTAGCAAATTATTATGAGAACAATACTAATAACAAATCATTCCTCATCATATTCTTTGTTGTTGGTCTATTTTTTATAACAATTTTTTTTTTCAAAAAGTGATTACTATCTGAAACATGTTTACTGCTTAAAATATGAACTAATCATACAATAAGTTTGTAAAAGAGTGTTAAGAAGAATTTATTAACATTTAGGGCTTGTCTACCGTATGTGTTCATGAACATATGACATTGAAATGTTAAACAATTAAATATATGTTAAATAATTAAATTAACACAGAGTGCTTTTTTTTAATTCATATAAATAATTATTTAATATATGTCACTGGAGAAATTAATCATGTGAAGATAAGGAAAGTATTAAATTTTAGTTAGTTTTCAGGAAAACTAGAACATTATTTATATATGTTTCAATTCCAGTATCACAATTTTAATAAAGTAAGCCAGTTTTTGTAATTTTGGTATAATAAATTTTTTGTTGTTAATAAAAAATATTATATTTTACAAAAACCTTTTTTTTAGAAAATATTTAGTTACTCCTCATATCCATTATAATTCTTTTCTTCAGCTAGAGCCACTTTTTTTATCGTAAAAGAGAAGAAAAGATAAACCCTAATCAGAATATTTACATCATCTTTTTCCTTATTCTGTTCGAGAAGCTTGCTATGCTAGCTATGATATATATAAAAAAATAAAAATAAAAAACAATTAAAACATAAATTGACAACACTTGAAAAATTATGAGTATACCCGCTTTTGCATGAACTCGACATCAGCGAACAATGTTTCATGCTGCAAAAATGAATGAGTCAGTCCAAAGGAATAATTAAATTCTAAATGTATATTTCAAAAACATATAATAAGTCAAAAAAATATACTACTAAGATATGTTCAAACAATTTTCTTCATAAAAATTCCAAAAAAAAAAAAAAAGCTTCTATAAAAAACTAAAATTAACTTATATACAAACTAAAAACAAAATTTAAAAAAAAATTATATAAAAAATACAAATGAATTTATGCATAAACTAACTTTATTTTATAAAATAAAAATTAATATATTTTTCTCTTGTTCTTCCTTTTCTAAAAGTGTTCCTAAAGATTCTTGTCCAAATATAGTTTAAGTGAAAAAGTGACTGTATCTAACTTTTTTCTATAGTTTTTTTTTCTCACTATTTTAATGCATGCTTGGGTTTATATATATATATATATATATATATATATATATATATATATATATATATATATATATATATATATATATATATATATATATATATACATTACATACCTTTCTAGACCTAACCCTACTTAATCCTTTCTCCAATCTACCCTCGAGGTTCTTCAGTTCCTTGAGGCTCAGAGAACCAAGTGCTTCCCCAAGGATGTGCCTGCAAAGAAAATTTCATGGATGAACTATTGAATGGAGAAACTATATTAAAAGTGTTTGGCAAAAAAACTAAGAAACTGACCTGTTTAGGTTCTGAATATCTCGAATTTGTCTTCTCAATTTGGATGATTCTTGCTGGTAAAACTGATATTAATGTGTCAATATGAAGAAGAATGGAAAGAAATATAAAGTAGTACAGCGTCGTTGGGTCTCTTGGAATGAAGAACTAGGATGCATGTATTGTTTTTATATTACCCTTCTTTTTTTATATTTCTCAACTTATGTACCTGCGTATTAACTTCAGACACAGATTCTGCGTTCGTGGAAGCAGCACTTGCCTTTTTGTACCTTTCAATAGTTGCCCTAACACTGCAAATTACAAACGATTCAACAACAAGCAACTGTGAAAGCCAGTGGACCAGTGAGATCAATGACACAAATCTATGAACAAACATTGAGAAAAGTACAAATAACGTTTACTGACATAAACACATGACTTCTTGTTCTATGTATTAATGGAACTATGAACCCTAACAAAACCAAGAGCTAAAGCTTTAAAACCTACTTGCATACCATTTACAAAGAAAACAGATAATTGATATTACATTCACTTAATAACACTTCAAAAGTTGAGAAAACGTGTCGACACTACTGTCCCATTACACATGGTATAATAACCATGGGAATCCCTATGTCTTACACCTCGATTCCCTTAAAACCCTTTACAAATTGCTCATGCAGTTCTAGTTTGTGTCAGTGAACTTTGGAAACCTAAGAAATGAATGTCATCAACTCAGAACTTCTCATTGGATCGTACTCGCTTTGTTTCTTTACCCTTCTAACACCTTTCTTTGTCACTTATTTTTCTAAGGACACAAAACCAGCTGAAGTTGAATTTGTTTATATATGTAAATATCATTCTTTGAAATATTCTGAACCATAATGTGAAACCCTCCATCTCCCAATTTTGAAAACTTCTTAAAGTTCAAACTTCGAATGGCATGAGTAAGAAGAAGCCAATAACCTATGATCATCTTGCCATAATGTAAATATAATCTTCCCTTTTGATTGAAATTTCCAAAACACATAATTGAGAGTAGGTGGAAGATTGACGTCAAGTGTAGAAGCTTTATTTCCTCAAAGATGAAAGAAATGAAAAGAGATGAAAGAGAGAGGGGTGTTTTGCTTTTATCCATTCTTAGAATCTGATATCATGGTGTTACTTTTAGCAACTCAGGGTAAAAAACAAACGATCCAGAAAGAATAACATCAAAACACCATAATATATAACTTCTTTTGTATGGTTATTTTTTAAAAATTCTACCAAATGGGGAAGAAAATGAACTTACAATTATTTATATAATAAAGATGAACCAAAGAACCTGCAGAAGAATAAATGCCACTGTGCCCTGTTGTCCTTACCGAAGAACTAAGAAATCATACTTCACGTGACCAAGTGAATCGTATTTTGTTAACCCTTTGTTAGAGAACATATTTATTTCATTTCATTTCAACATAAAATAATTGAAAAGGAAATTAACGTATGTATAGTTTTAATTAGTTAATAGGATGTATATTCGTTTTTCATTTATATATATATAAATGGAAATGGGATTTTAAGGAAAAATACAAAGAGTGAGAAATTTCATTTTATTTTTAAATTAATAGAATATTATAAAATATTCATAAAAATAACCACAAGATTATGTTTAGGTTGATTACAATTTTATTTTTATTTTATAATGATAAAATAAAAATATTTATTATTTTCCTCCCCTCCAAAACCTTACTTCTAGAGATATTCTTATAGAAAAAGCAGCCACCTAATTCCATGAATATATTCAACATCCCCTCTGCCAGAAATTTCTTGTGGAAGCAGAGTTTTTGACATTGATAATAACACACAGGATGGGAAACCCTAACTGCAGCATGTTGCCTTGACCCTACTGTAAAGGACAAATATTAAAGAAAAGTGGGGAATAACGAATTTTAGACTTTCATGAACATCTACATAAGATTTAATTTAGGACAGAATGATGATAAAAAAAGTTATGTTTCAATACAAGAGAATCTGAAATGTTTGACCTCAGAAACCCTAATATTTGGGATTTGGAAGATTGATCACATTCATAACTACCTTGTGATAAATTCATTAAGAGTTTTAAACAAAAGGGATTATTAAATTAGTAGACATTTATACATATCCTCGATTTGACTGCCCTAAAGTCTTACACATGAATGGATTTGGGTGTTTGACTAATGAAAAATCGAAACCCTAGATAAGATAACTCGAGATTTTGATCAGCTGACAACTTAATTTGAAGTGTCAAGAAAAAGTGATGATGAGGAAGAGAAGAGAAGATGATCAATAATGAGGCATGCAGCTTTATGTGGCAGACTTTTGTAGGTTTTATGGTTGACATGTTTAGGGAAAGTGAGAGAGAAAAGAAAAGAATTGGAAAAAGCTTAAGAGCATGGGAAAATATACACAAAGAAGCTAAGATCTCTGACTTGCAAATCTTTGTAACCCTATTCAAAGCTTTTCCTCTTCTTCATGTATTAAGTGCTACTCCTAGTATCCCCTTAACTCCTATTTCTATCTCTCACAACAGATCTGCAACCTTTCAAACAAACAGTCGACTAACAAGAATAAAAGGGCAATAAGTTTGTGAGATGAACGATGTACATATACCACAAAGCTCATGAAGGAAAGTAAATTAACAATGAAGAATACAAACAAACAAACAGAAGGGACAAGATTAAAGTGTGGGAGAAAGAAAATTTACACTTTGAACTGAAAAATCCAAACTGGTTTTATATTAACCTCATTCACAAGTTTTAAAAATGAGAAGCTAGAATATAGCAGTTTCATTTAAAAATTAATTCAAGATTTAATTCTCACATGACAGAATATATTGTTTTGGAAACATTTTGAGACAACATAACCAAGCATTTGATATTAATAAACAAAACCAAAGAGAAACTGATTAAGAACCTTCTGTGGTTACAAAAATTTAAGAAGGTTTGTGTGTTAGTGAAACCTGTTGTTGGCATACTCATACAAACGGCCACGGCTTGAGAAGACAACAAGGGCAACTTCAGCATCACACAGAACTGACAATTCATAAGCTTTCTTCAGCAAACCGTTGCGGCGTTTGCAGAAGGTGACTTGCCTATTTGTGGTGTTCTCGATCCGTTTGATTTCAATCTTCCCTCTTCCCATCTTCTTCTGAGAGGACCCTTCTTGAGCTTGATTTGGAAGCTCCATGGTTTGAAGCTAAAAGTGATTAATCATACCAAAACCAGATAATTAGTCAGTACCCTTGTTCAATCATAGAAAAAAAATATATATATGCAAATGAAATTATCAAATAAGTTGAAGAGAAAGGTAAAGAAAACAAAATCAAAAGATGTGAATGATTGTATATGTGCCTAATGGTTTGGTGTGATCTGGATTTTGGTATGCTATAAGGTAGTGACTAACCACGAAATTAGACAGCAATATACACAAAAATATTTAGGGTAAGAGGGTGCAAACAAACAAGTCCACTATGTTATGTATACCTTAGGAATCTGCACTATATGTAGCTCTTTGGTGTGAACCTTGAACTCAGGTACAAAGGATGCAAAATATGGAAGTGAGCTGGCCTAGCAGACAGGTATTTATGGACTGAAAATAGACCCTCCAACAATTACCCAACTCACACTATAATTTAACTTCTCCTGTTGGAGAATTAAAGCATGAGAGAGAGAGAGAGAGAGAGAGAGAGAGACTTGAGGTTCACCTTTCATGCTCCATAAACCATCCATTTCTTCATGTATGGGGAAAAGGAGAGGGAGATAATGAAAGGGTCTTTTCGAAAGTGACTTTAATTTGTTAATGTGGGGTTTGATTCAATTTCATTGAGAGGGACATGAACATAGAAGTTTGTACGCAAAATTCTGAAGCTTCAAATTTTTAACGCATCAAAGAAAAAATCCATTTTGCTTCTTGGATTCTGAGTTTTTGGCGTTTTACTTCAAATATGGCCTTGTTTACACTTACGGGAAAAAAAAAAAAAGTAAAACAAACCAAACTTTGTTAAGAAATTAAAATTAAGATATATACACTTAATAATTTGAAATTTAACTCCTTTAAATTCTTATATTTTTCCCTTGTTCACAAATGTTTATCCAGATTTTTTTTTTCTTCAACCGATCCATATAATTTATACAGTTTAAATTTGAAAGCTGAAAGTTTCCAATGACTGATGACCTCTCTCTTGAATTATTACAATTTTAACTAAGAAGGGTTCCCACGTGATGTCTGATCATAATCTTCAATTCTTCTCCTTATAATGTGGGAATGGGAAAGTCAGTTTGAATTTTTCAGTTGAAAATTTCCTTCCTTTTTCCCTTTTCTGCATTTTGATTTTGATGGCGTGATTAATATCTCAGAACCCTAATTAAACATTTGAATTTTTCAAGAAACTATTGAAATAAATAAATAATAAGTGTTAAGTTTTATCTGAAGGGTTTAATTTTCTGATAGTATGATAAACATTTCACAGATTTTTGGGGTTTATACCACCATTTATACTAACATATGTGGATTAAATTGCAAATTCATGATGGAACTTGTAATGGAAAGAATTCTCTAAATATAATAATGGTTCAGACTTCACTAAATTATTGAAACATGTAAGAATGTAGTGATAAAACAAAAACAAAATTGATTTCTTAAATTGTGTCCTAGAAATATTCTCAGAGTATGGAGGTTGTGGAAAAATTTACTTATAGCAGATCAGCATTATTTAACATCAACATCATGTATACTCAAATATTTAAGATGGTATTAATTGATCTATAAATTCAGAGTGGTACTTTCATTTTTTAAATACTGAAAATTATTATGGAAGAAAGTACGTAAAAAGATCATTAATTATTTCATATCAACATTATGTTCAAATATTAAATGATATTAATTAATCTATAGTTCACTAAGAAAGTTATTCTAACAACACTGCCAAATAATGAATACAAAATAAATAAATAAATAAAGACTTTTTTTTTTATTTGACTGTAGTATTCAAAATTGAGCATAGTTATTAATGGTAATATTAGATAATTGGGATAAATTGGAACGAAGAGAGAGAGAGAGATTTTTCTTCTTATTATTTTTATATTCTTCTTATAATTTTATCCTTATTATTATGACTGTTATAATGATTTTTTTAATAGTTTTTTTTCTTATTTCAATAATTGTTTTTCGATTTTTTTTACTATGATAATTATTATTTTAATTATGTAACACATATTTCTATTAATTGTCAAAAGATACTTTTTCTTATTGCATCACCATGACACTAAAAAAAGAAAGATAGAGGACATGTAGAATAGAAATAGTGTGATTTAAAATTCCACAGAAGAACATCGAATCTTGAAAAAAAATGGAGTGGAGTGAATTTCATCTTTAAACTTTTTAAATTACATAAATTAAGTCAAATTTTTTTTCTGAAGAAACATCGTATATTTTTTGAAGTTTCTTATAGATAAGGAAAAAAAAGAGAGAAAAACTCATTTCTAATTACAATTTTTAAGTACCTTACAAATTTCACATACAATAAAAGAAAATAATCGGAAATATAAAAAAATATATTTTATATATTTCAAATTTTTTTAATCATACATATGAGATAATTAAAGTATAATAGCAAGACTTTTCTTACAAATGAGGAAAAGTGGTATCTTGGAGTCAAAGGTGGAATTTTGAGTTCCACGGTCAACTGGGGAGATCTTGAATTCTGATTGGTACATTCGTGTTCCACAATGTTGAGCAAAATTATTTTTTTCATAATCATGTCAAACACATGGCTTATGTGCATGATATTTCAATGGAAATTATTTACCATTTTATTTTTTAATATATTATAAAAGTTATAATATGCAAAAGCACATAAGAAATGAAAAAAAAATCTAAAAAAAAAAAGATAAAACTCATGAACAAAATTATACGATACGAAAAGAAAGTAAAACATTCTTGTTTCTAAACATTTCATACCTTGAGAAAGTTTGGAACATTATCTTAATTATTGTATTTTTTTATTATTATTATATTTGTACTAAAATCAAATATAAATATAATATTGCAAGTAAAAATCTTGAAAATGATTTTTCAAGTTATAACATAATTAGTAATTAATAATGTTAATTGGGATAATATTAAACTTTCTGGTTTGTGTTTGTGTTTATATTATAGATATCGATATTGTCGTGTAACAACTTTTATATATTGATTTACAATTCAAATAATATTTCACTTAAAAATAATTTAGATAAAAGAAAAAAATGGTTTTTCTTTATTGTAAAACTCGGGTAAATTTGATAAAATTATTTAGAAAAAAAAAACTATAAATGACCTTATACGGTTTTCATTAATCAATTCCTTAAGTAACTTCAATGGTACAACTATCATAGGTTTCTAAACTTATTGTGGGTAATTTTAATAATACTACATGAGATTTAAGATCTTTAATAAGTTTTATTTTCAAATTGTGTAATATTCGAGAATGAGATTTAAAAACATTAACTTTTTTTTTTCAACTATGCACTTTTTAAAAACTTATATATATGATTCTCAACCGTAGCGGATCTTGACCATTGATCTTAAGGAGGCCAAATAATATATTATTAATAAATAATAAATAAATATAAAAGGAAGAAAGAAGATGAAAGGGTAAAATGATAAAATTGTAGATATATATTTAAATATATTAAATGATCATTAAGTTTGAGGGGGACAAAGTGATAAATTACATGGGGGTTACAAAATTGAGGAGGGGGTGAGAGGATAGAATTGTAAATATACAAGTAAATATATTAAATGTTTATTAAGTTTGGGGGCCAAAATCATAAATTACATGAGAGTTATAAAATTTTTGGGGACTACGACCCCTCAACTCCAAGAAGATCCATGACCGATTCTCAAACCATTAAGAATGAAAATTAAGAAAAGATTATTCAAAAATCAAAATCCCACTTTTAATAAAAAAATTATAAATAAAATTAAAGAGAGATTTATCATAGCTCGTGCATCATTTAACCTTAACCTTTCATCGTTCTTCACAAAAATCACTTTGCATTAGGTTACCATTTTTTTTTCAAATAAAACCTAAGTCAACATTAATTGTCAATGAAACCTAACTCCATTTCACACATATTTGTCAATGAAACCTAACTCCATTTCACACATATTTGTATAGGATTTATCAACATTTCCAATGTCAAATCATTACAAAGGTATCACAAAAGGAATACACCAACTTTTTACTAATTATTCTAGTAAAACAAATTTACATACGAGGACAAATGATGGCAAAGGTGTCAACTTTTGAATTTAACAGTGAAATAACACGTAAAGTAATAAATTTTTTATAAGCCACTTCTTCTTAGTGATCTTATAAGGATTTTTATAAGATGCTGTACAGATTTTTATTTTTATTTTTAGAATTTTTTCTATATATGTATTTTTATAAATGAGATACATTATATGGTAAATATTAAATGTTTCATTGAACGAGAGTGTCATATGATGAGACTCACGTCTTACTATTATTTGGAATTCTCGTCCTTATTCTTAAAAAAGTAACAATAGATAAAAATATATATATATATATATATATATATATATATATATATATATAAATTATTATTTACCTTAACCCCTATGGGAATATTGTAAATGTACTAATTAATAATATTTTAGATTTAATTGTTTAAATCAAAATAATAATATAATATAATTTTTTTCTTTTTATTCTAAACAATAATAAAAATCTTAATATTTAATTTAAATAAAAAATAATAAAAATATATTCTCCATTATAAAAGAGAATAATAAAAAAACTAAAACTTATTTTAAAATTTATATATTAATCTCTTAATCACCTTATATTTTATTTTTATTTTTAATTTAAGTGTTGGGTATTTTTCAAGTAGACTTCTATTTGTTCCACTCTAAAAAATATATTCTCATCAATAGTTCAATTCTCGATCTTTTATTTTACGTTAATAATGACCTCTACTACTTCAATAAAAATATAAGACATCTTAAATAACGTTAAAAATAGAGTTTTAATTATTTTTATTCCTTGATTCTAGATTAGAAAACATAAAAGAAAATTTCCTTCAAAAACAAGTTGATGTTATAAAAAAAATTATTTTGGAAAGGTTTATGCTATGTTTTAAATTGAAGGGACAATCATAACATAAGACAAAAAGATTTTGATT